ATGAGAATGGTTTCAATCCCATTAAGATACTCTTGTATTCCAATTAATTACGTCCAAATCGTCTTGCGCCCAACGACCTCATGCCTTTGTATCCCTGAATTTTCCCCAATTTGTAAGGCTGGCATTAGTGTGGATTCAAAGCTCTGGAGGACATGAGAACAGGTTTTAGTTTGAGAACCAATATTTTAATAATTCTAGTAAATGAAGAAAGGTCATGTACAGTTACATCACCTTTAGATAGACTATTTTGATGGCCTCACTCATATCAAAGCAGTGACACCATCATTTATGTAAATAAATACCACTTCTTGGGTAGTAATTAGGTTTGATTTTTCCTGCATGCACTGTTAATCCTTGGGAATCAAGATATTGTACAGCATATTCACATTGACTTGCTTTATAAAAATACAATCATCCAAGTAGCAAGCGGCTATTCCAAGTTTTTTCGTGAGATAGAGCTGGCTTCAGCATTTTAGTGAATATTCAGAGTATAGAAGTCAGCCAATGAGGTCAAGAGAACTGGTAGGGTTTTTTCCCCACAAAATCTGCAGCCTCTTTCTCTCTCTTCTTGGACTTCATATACCCAGAAGCGGGCATCTTTTAGGTTAATAACTATTAAGTAGAAGTCTGTTAGAATGGATTGAATTATCCTAATGGACTCCATATTCAAATAGTCGTGCTTTATGTAGTCATTTAATTATCTTGAGTTCAGAATAACCCAGACATTGCTATCCCTTTTTGTAGTTGGAGAAACGGTAAAAACCTTGTGAATTTTCTGTTAATATTTTGGCTTTTATGAAACTACTCATAACATTGTCCAGGGTTTTTTGTGCAGCACTGGAGTAAATAAGGTCTTATATACTACCCTGTATAGTTCAATATTTGAAATTCAAGTTTTACCATTTACAATATTACAAAACATCTCTGTGCAATGCTTCCTATTGAATCTTAAAGGCAAACAACTTTCATCCCAAACAAAATGTTCAGGGCATTAGCTAGTAAACCTACTTGTGCTCACCAGAGGCTGAATTCCTGGGCACATGGTGTTCAAGCGGTGTCCAGAAGCACCAACGGTTTAGAGATCAACACAGCAAAGGATCCACAGATCGAGATAGGCCTGAGAGGTGGGCACAAACAGCAACTGTACTAAAAATATTTATTATATCAAAACACGTAAATACATCAGAAAATCAATATTAAATGAGTAATTTGAAATGTACAAATACAGAGGGTATATGCATATGAAAAGAGAGAACTTGAATAAAAAGCACGACCCAAATGCTCCAGGGAGAGGTTCCTGTGCATCGAGTGCCGGTCCGGGACTGCCCAGGGGCTCCATGACCTTGGCGCCTAACACCTTCCTCGGGCAACTGCGAACTTCTGCCTAAATACGGTGTCAACTTGTGGCTCACTCTTGTGGCGTGTCTTCTCTCCCTTTTTGTTTGTATCCTTTCGTCTTACAGCACTAGGATAAGCGGAGCATCTCTTTATGGTCCAACAACAGAGCCCGGGAAGAGCAGTGTAAGCGAGGTTGTCGGGAGGGGATGGGGAGGTGCTATGCTCTGCTGTGAAGGTATTCCTAGAGTTCCTCTCCTACGCGATGAGAGAAGAGACGAGTCTTGCCGTTCGCCCTTTGGTCCTTCATGGCTGCTGCTGTCTACCTGGCCTGGCTAGTTGCTTCCTCCGGTACCTCTAGCACCTGGAACGGGAAACACAGATCAAGTACCAAGTCATACACGACAATTTAGTAATACCTGAGTGGGGAATGTTTATACTATGATTGCATAAACAGGAACGGATCAATAAATCCAAAACGCTATAACAATAAGAAAAACACCTTGGAATATGTAGGTTTCTTACAGTTCCTCGATGTCTACCTAAAGACGATCTGAATGCCACAGCTGTAGGCTGTGCCCTCCATCCCTATTCTCTCCCGTTTAGCTTATCAAACTTGATTTTGATGAGGTTGAACAGATGAGATCCCCCTGGTGCCAAGGACACACGTCAGTGCAGGTTACTCAGCAGGCTCCAGAGATGACTCTGGCCCCTTCAGCTCTTTCTGATGCACGGCCTGCCTTTCCTGCTTTGTGTGGAAGTGCGCTCAACTCGCCAGGTGAGGGACCTGTGTCTCACTCATCCAAGAGAAGACACGAGCCACGAGTTCCAATCGCCGTCCCGTTTGGCCGAAGAGGAGAGAGGAGCACTGGACACCCGGCTTGGCATCGCTTCACACGCCTCCGTCGCAAGCACGAGCAAGCACATGTGTCATCAGAGGGATTTGTTACCCAGCGAGACGCACCCTCCGGAAGCAGTCACGAAGCCAGGTTGTCATGCGGACAACAACAACTTTTCTACCTTCTATTCGTTTCCTAGACAAAGGGGGCCAAGCTCCTTTGCACCCTCCCCCACCCCCTTTACTGGCACCGTGCCAACTTATACAAACGACAGTAAGAAACCTCTGGCTGTGTTAGGGTGTTGCGGACTCTCTTTATTCTCTCTTTCTCCCCCCCCCCTCTTTCTTCTATCTCAGCGGGAAATCCGAGGCCGCGGCAGCTTAACCTGTGTTTGACCTTACTTCTTGTGCTCTAAAAGAGGGCGGCATCCACTTCCCTCTCTCTCAGTCAGATATCAAAAAAGAAAAAAAGGCAAACACGCACGCAAACAGGTATGCAAAGGGCAGACAGGCAAGCAATGTATGCAAAGGGCAGGACAGGCAAGCAATGTATGCAAAGGGTAGGCAGACAGGCAAGCAATGTATGCAAAGGGTAGGCAGACAGGCAAGCAATGTATGCAAAGGGTAGGCAGACAGGCAAGCAATGTATGCAAAGGGTAGGCAGACAGGCAAGCAATGTATGCAAAGGGTAGCAGACAGGCAAGCAATGTATGCAAAGGGTAGGCAGACAGGCAAGCAATGTATGCAAAGGTAGGCAGACAGGCAAGCAATGTATGCAAAGGGTAGGCAGACAGGCAAGCAATGTATGCAAAGGGTAGGCAGACAGGCAAGCAATGTATGCAAAGGTAGGCAGACAGGCAAGCAATGTATGCAAAGGGTAGGCAGACAGGCAAGCCAATGTATGCAAAGGGCAGGCAGACAGGCAAGCAATGTATGCAAAGGGCAGGCAGACAGGCAAGCAATGTTATGCAAAGGGCAGGCAGCAAGCACGAAATGTATGCAAAGGGCAGGCAGGCAAGCAGAAATGTATGCAAAGGGCAGGCAGGCAAGCAAAATGTATGCAAAGGGCAGGCAGGCAAGCATTCAATGTATGCAAAGGGCAGGCAGGCAAGCACAAATGTATGCAAAGGGCAGGCAGGCAAGCACGAAATGTATGGCAAATCACAGGCAACCACACACGCAATCAGTGCCACACACACACGCAATCAGTGCATGCAAATCACAGGCAACCACACACGCAATCAGTGCGTGCAAATCACCACACACGCAATCAGTGCGTGCAAATCACAGGCAACACACACGCAATCAGTGCGTGCAAATCACAGGCAACCACACATGCAATCAGTGCATGCAAATCACAGGCAACCACACACGCAATCAGTGCGTGCAAATCACAGGCAACCACACACGCAATCAGTGCATGCAATCACAGGCAACCACACACGCAATCAGTGCGTGCAAATCACAGGCACACACGCAATCAGTGCGTGCAAATCACAGGCAACCACACACAATCAGTGCGTGCAAATCAGGCAACCACACATGCAATCAGTGCATGCAAATCACAGGCAACCACACACGCAATCTGCAAATCACAGGGCAATCAGTGCATGCAAATCACAGGCAACCACACATGCACAAATCACAGGCAACCACACACGCAATCAGTGCGTGCAAATCACAGGCAACCACACACGCAATCAGTGCATGCAAATCACAGGCAACCACACGCAATCAGTGCGTGCAAATCACAGGCAACCACACACGCAATCAGTGCATGCAAATCACAGGGCAATCAGCAAATCACAGGCAACCACACACGCAATCAGTGCGTGCAAATCACAGGCAACCACACAACAGTGCAAATACAGGCACCACACACGCAATCAGTGCGTGCAAATCACAGGCAACCACACACGCAATCAGTGCGTGCAAATCACAGGCAACCACACACAATCAGTGCGTGCAAATCACAGGCAACCACACACGCAATCAGTGCGTGCAAATCACAGGCAACCACACACGCAATCAGTGCATGCAAATCACAGGCAACCACACACGCAATCAGTGCGTGCAAATCACAGGCAACCACACACGCAATCAGTGCGTGCAAATCACAGGCAACCACACACGCAATCAGTGCGTGCAAATCACAGGCAACCACACACGCAATCAGTGCATGCAAATCACAGGCAACCACACACGCAATCAGTGCATGCAAATCACAGGCAACCACACACGCAATCAGTGCGTGCAAATCACAGGCAACCACACACGCAATCAGTGCGTGCAAATCACAGGCACCACACACGCATCAGTGCGTGCAAATCAATCATGCAAATCACAACCACACACGCAATCAGTGCGTGCAAATCACAGGCAACCACACAATCAGTGCGTGCAAATCACAGCAACCACACACGCAATCAGTGCATGCAAATCACAGGCAACCACACACGCAATCAGTGCGTGCAAATCACAGGCAACCACACACGCAATCAGTGCATGCAAATCACAGGCACGCATCAAATCACAGGCAACCACACACGCAATCAGTGCGTGCAAATCACAGGCAACCACACACGCAATCAGTGCGTGCAAATCACAGGCAACCAACACACGCAATCAGTGCGTGCAAATCACAGGCAACCACACACGCAATCAGTGCATGCAATCACAGGCAACCACACACGCAATCAGTGCATGCAAATCAGGCAACCACACATGCATCAGTGCATGCAAATCACAGGCAACCACACACGCAATCAGTGCATGCAATCACAGGCAACCACACAATCAGTGCATGCAATCACAGGCAACCACACATGCAATCAGTGCATGCAAATCACAGGCAACCACACAAATCACAGGCCACACACGCAATCAGTGCATGCAAATCACAGGCAACCACACATGCAATCAGTGCATGCAAATCACAGGCAACCACACATGCAATCAGTGCATGCAATCACAGGCAACCACACATGCAATCAGTGCATGCAAATCACAGGCAACCACACACGCAATCAGTGCATGCAAATCACAGGCAACCACACACGCAATCAGTGCATGCAAATCACAGGCAACCACACACGCAATCAGTGCATGCAATCACAGGCAACCACACATGCAATCAGTGCATGCAATCAACAGTGCAAATAACCACACATGCAATCAGTGCATGCAAATCACAGGCAACCACACATGCAATCAGTGCATGCATCACAGGCAACCACACATGCAATCAGTGCATGCAAATCACAGGCAACCACACACGCAATCAGTGCGTGCAAATCACAGGCAAACCACACACGCAATCATGCAATCACAGGCATGCAAATCACAGGCAAACCACACATGCAATCAGTGCATGCAAATCACAGGCAACCACACATGCAATCAGTGCATGCAAATCACAGGCAACCACACACGCAATCAGTGCGTGCAAATCACAGGCAACCACACACGCAATCAGTGCGTGCAAATCACAGGCAACCACAACACGCAATCAGTGCGTGCAAATCACAGGCAACCACACACGCAATCAGTGCATGCAAATCACAGGCAACCACACACGCAATCAGTGCGTGCAAATCACAGGCACGCAATCAGCAAATCACAGCAACCACACACGCAATCAGTGCATGCAAATCACAGGCAACCACACACACGCAATCAGTGTGCAAATCACAGGCAACCACACACGCAATCAGTGCGTGCAAATCACAGGCAACCACACACGCAATCAGTGCATGCAATCACAGGCAAGCACACATGCAATCAGTGCATGCAATCACAGGCAACCACACATGCAATCAGTGCATGCAAATCACAGGCAACCACACATGCAATCAGTGCATGCAAATCACGCAATCAGTGCATGCAAATCACAGGCAACCACACACGCAATCAGTGCGTGCAAATCACAGGCAACCACACACGCAATCAGTGCGTGCAAATCACAGGCAACCACACACGCAATCAGTGCGTGCAAATCACAGCAACCACACATGCAATCAGTGCGTGCAAATCACAGGCAACCACACATGCAATCAGTGCATGCAAATCACAGGCAACCACACACGCAATCAGTGCGTGCAAATCACAGGCAACCACACACGCAATCAGTGCATGCAAATCACAGGCAACCACACACGCAATCAGTGCATGCAATCACAGGGCAATCAGTGCATGCAAATCACAGGCAACCCAGCAATCAGTGCATGCAATCACAGGGCAATCAGTGCATGCAAATCACAGGCAACCACACACGCAATCAGCAAATCACAGGCAACCACACACAATCAGTGCATGCAAATCACAGGCAACCACACAGCCAACACAACCACACATGCAATCAGTGCATGCAAATCACAGGCAACCACACACGCAATCAGTGCGCAAATCACAGGGCAATCAGTGCGTGCAAATCACAGGCAACCACACACGCAATCAGTGCATGCAAATCACAGGCAACCACACGCAATCAGTGCATGCAAATCACAGGCAACCACACACGCAATCAGTGCATGCAAATCACAGGCAACCACACACGCAATCAGTGCATGCAAATCACAGGCAACCACACACGCAATCAGTGCATGCAAATCACAGGCAACCACACACGCAATCAGTGCGTGCAAATCACAGGCAACCACACACGCAATCAGTGCATGCAAATCACAGGCAACCACACACGCAATCATGCATGCAATCACAGGCAACCACACACGCAATCAGTGCGTGCAAATCACAGGCAACCACACACGCAATCAGTGCATGCAATCACAGGCAACCACACATGCAATCAGTGCATGCAAATCACAGGCAACACACACAATCAGTGCATGCAATCACAGGCAACCACACATGCAATCAGTGCAAATCACAGGCAACCACACACGCAATCAGTGCGTGCAAATCACAGGCAACCACACACGCAATCAGTGCATGCAAATCACAGGCAACCACACACGCAATCAGTGCATGCACACACACATGCAATCAGTGCAATCACAGGCAACCACACACGCAATCAGTGCATGCAAATCACAGGCAACCACACACGCAATCAGTGCGTGCAAATCACAGGCAACCACACACGCAATCAGTGCATGCAATGCAATCAGTGCATGCAAATCACAGGCAACCACACACGCAATCAGTGCATGCAATCACAGGCAACCACACACGCAAATCACATATCGCAATCGGGCCATCTACCCGGAGATGCAGGTGAACAATCGTTTGTGCCAATATCAAACTACCTTGGCACCATGAAAACATGAATGGCCTTGGGATCAAAGACGCTTAGTGAAAACACAGGAAACCGTTTTATATCCTAGACGAGGAGCCCCTCTGAACACAGGCTGACAACCAACCAAGGCAGCATCAGTCTCGAGCAGACGTTCGTGAAAATCCGTTGCCACGATGTAACTTGCGCTCGCATTGCACCGTTTGAATGACCCTATTGGCCTATTTATTTATTATTTACCATATTGCCCTATTTAATTACCCAAGGCCCTCTTAATTCCCCTCCTGAACCGCACGAGGCCCTCTTAATTACCCTAATTGAAACAGTCACACTTCTGAATCCAGGAGCTCGCAGCCCTGCCAACCCCGTCACCTCGCAGCGTGGGACACAAGCGGCGCCACAGAGCACAGGCGGGAGAGGCTGGGGCTCAAAGGGATCAGAGGCTGCAAGACTATGCAGAAAGGAACCGTAGATCTCGATAGGCCAGAGAGAGAGAGAGAGAGAGAGAGAGAGAGAGAGAGAGAGAGAGAGAGAGAGAGAGAGAGAGAGAGAGAGAGAGAGAGAGAGAGAGAGAGAGAGAGAAAGAGAGAAAGAGAGAGAGAGAGAAAGAGAGAAGAAAGAGAGAGAGAAAGAAAGTGAGAGAGAGAGAGAAAGAGAGAAAGAAAGTGAGAGAGAGAGAGAAGAGAAAGAAAGAGAGAGAGAGACTGAGAGAGAGAGAGAGAAAAGAGAGAGAGAGAGAGAGAGAGAGAGAGAGAGAGAGAGAGAGAGAGGAGAGAAGAGAGAGAGAGAGAGAGAGAGAGAGCCAGCGAGAAACCATAGATCTCGATAGGCCAGAGAGATGGACGGACACAAACAGCAATTGGCAATACTAATTAAGGCGTCCGCGCTATATATACCGAGGAAAGTATAATACTGTCATTGACTAGTGTTCGTACATGTCGGTTAAGTTAATAAAAATGTCAAAGGTTGTGCTTTAATTGAAATTCAAAAGTTGCCTCTCTAAGAAAAAAAAGAGTCCACAAACTCGTTATCTCGAACCGTCTCGAACGTAAACAATACTGCGAGCTTTCTGAAAAGTTCATAGATGTCGCTGCGTATCCACAGTAAATTTGTATCGTGTTTAAAACACTTGATAATACAATTATTACTTTTGTATTTGATATGTCGATCCCTAGGACCACACAATAATTTCAGACTGCTGGGAAAGCTTATGACAGTCTAGAGGAAGAGGGCTTCAATCACCTCAAAGTTAATCATTCATATAATTTTGTTGATCCCAAAACAGGCGCCCATACAAATAACATTGAGAGAAAGTGGCGGGACGCAAAACGGACAGTCCCACAATTTGGCCGCCGGAAAGCTCATTTTGTTGGGTACCTCGCGAGGTTGATTTTCTTTAAAGCCCACCCCGAGGCAAATAAGCGGCTGCACCATTTCCTGCTGGCTGCTGCCGAGTTGTACCCTCCGTCTTTTTAAAGTAAGCTAAATATTTTTGGGGAAGGGGTGCGGGAGCTTGCCCCCGGTAGGAGGTTATAAGGGAATACTTCGTCTGTACGGCGAAATACCCTCAGGGAAGGGGGTCCGGGGGCTTACCGCCGATAAGGGGTTAGGAAGGTATGCTTCGTTTGTGCAGTGATTAAGAAATTTCTTCGACATTTCGGCAACACTGACATCGACGCGGTGCATCTTACAGCGACGGGTGAACGAAAAGTTTACGTTTATCAACTATATCGATTTTAATGATATATTTTCTTTCTTTTATTGATGATCTGAATTTCGGATCGATTTGTTATTTTTACGCTTTCTTTCACTTAGTCATAACAAAGTTTGGCTCGGGTTTTTCATTTTTACGCTTTCTTTAACTTTTTATTACGAAGTTTGGCTAGGGTTTTCGATTTTTTCAATATTTTCACTTTTCATTCCACTATTTCTCCCGTGTTTGCCCCCCCCCTTCAACCCCCGATTCCCCACGGGTCCCCCAAGATTGATGGGGGTTGAAGAAAAAAAACAAAAAATAGGCGCGGCTGTCTTACTTAGAATTACCCAGCAATTTACAAAAGTAAATAATTAAAGACTTAGGAAACTATGTAAATGCATAACATTACCAAAGAAAACGAATCGAAACGCCGACCCAGTGGCTCCACGAGAGGTTCCTGCGCTGCGACCGCCGGCCCAGGACTGTCCAAGCCGGAGCGCCTCGCGTCCCCCCCTCGCCCGGGCGGACGCCGAACGAGCGAACTGCCTTTAGATGCGGCGTCAACCACCGGTTCACTCGGTCGCGGTCCATCTCCCCTTCGTCCTTGTCGACGATTCCCTTTCAGACGACTATTTCATTTAGATTTTCCCTTGTGGCATTGCGGTGAGCGGAGCAGCGGCGTCCCTTTTGGGCTGACAACAAATACACGGAATGACAGGGCAAGGAGGAGGAGTAAGAGTAGTAAGAGTAGGAGGAGGAGTAAGAGTAGGAGGAGTAGGAGTAGGAGAAGAAGAGGAGAAGGAGGAGGAAGAAGAGTAGGAACAGGAGGAGGAAGAGAAAGAGCAGTATGAGTGACCAAATGGGGAGAAGGTGCCATGCTCTGCTGCTCTTTCCTCGCGGACCTAAAAACGTACCACATTCTTCTGTGAACCATGGGCATGCGCTCTCTTTCCTGCTCTCTCGATTAGACTTTTATTAAAGGAGTCAAAGGGTTGAACATTCCGTCCGACTTGGACGAGGCCCGCCATCTATTGGCACTGATAGCGTTCGTTTTCCCTTTTTTTTATCCTCCTTCCGGTAGATCTTCCTGGAATGTCGCCGGATCCTGCAAGAATTCACCCTAGTCATGTCTGAAGCATAGATACGGTCCTCAGATCGATCAGTGGAGGCGCTATATCGCAGACAAAACTCGTGTAGCGTAATGGAAAGAGAATCGTGCTTACCAAGCCAACTCTTTGGCGCTGCGGTAAAAAGATAAAAATCTTGAAGAGGTTGGTGCCCGAGGAACTCCCTTCGCATGGGTCCTGGGCGAGCGCTCGCTAACGACCGACGGGAGAGGCAAACTACTGCCATCTCCCTTGATACCGTGGTGACCGCAGTGACATCATGTGAAATGCTCAAAAAGGGAGCGACCAATGCATGCACATTCACTGCTCAGGGCAGTCGTTGCCAGAATGTGCATAACATAAAACCCCAAACAAATAAATGGTGATATGAAATGGGAGACGCTTTCATATAGAGACACATCCAGACCTAAACTGAACATATTAAATGCTCAGAAAAGGCTTCACCAAAATGTACATAACGAACAAATATGGAATGGTAATCATGGTGATAAAAAATGAAGAGACACGCTTGTTCAAAGGCAGGCAAATTACTACACACATTCGCTGCTCAGTAGAGCCGTTACCAGAATGTGCATAAACATAAAACCCCAAACAAATAAGCCATAGTAAGAATGGTCACTATGCATAACAGGGTAGTGGCTTGCTTTCAAAACAAATTTGATATTTTTGTGTAGGTAATCCAATAACTTGAGCAAATCTAGATGCTATTCATTGTGCAAACGAATCGTTGAGTTGTGACGAATTTTTTGGAGGGCTCTGACGGCAATGTTGATAACCTGTGAAAAAAAACGGTAATTCGCACTTCTAAAACTATTTGTTAAATAAATCACATGGATACTAATACAAAAACAAAATAACGAGATACTAAAATGATTGTCAGTAACTACGGACGAAGCGCCATAGAAAATATCCCGACGATGCGATTCAAAGTATGCGTGAAAGTTTTTGTATTTGATTATAACGTTTTATTTTTTTCTCGACAATATTTAATGATGTACTATTTATCGACGATATGACGATATTGTCACTACCAATAAATGTTGCGCCGCTTAGTTATATCGACGATAGGCGCGGAGACCGCGCATATCGTTTAATTACATGTTAAATATATGAATGAACAAAGAACGGAGCCAATAACGCGTGACACTGCCATACCATACCATACCATATGCGATTTTGCGTTTTTGGTTTTTCTCTAAACACAAGAAGCTTTGAAAGAAAAGAGCGGCCTTCATCCCGGACAACTTCGTAACATTTTTTAATACGCCGAACGATCGATTTCACCCTCGCAATTGTCGCGCTGGAACCTTATGCCGCTTTAATACACTGCAGCCGTTAATAATGAGGTACAAGTTACCGAGACTGATACACACAGATGCGGCAAAATGAAAGGACACCACCTTAGACTTATTTACTGCAAAATATCCAAAATATTTGCTGCATATCACCGATCCGACACCAAGTCCACAAAACCCTCACACAGCCGGAGTTCGTTATTTTCGTTTTCTCCAAATTGTCACAAAGCCCTATTGGGGGGGGGGGGCTCCCGGTCATTTAAGGTATGAAAAGTTAGGTTTCTTTCTGGATTCGCAATACAAGGGTTTGTGACTTAGTTTGTAGGAGTGCGTCGGTGTCGGTAACAAATGCCGTATGTCGTAATATCTTAAATAAAATGCGCTGCGACGTCTATAGTGCGTCGTTCATTAAGCGTTAAAATACTGACCGCTTATTGAAAATCGCTCGCGTTACCGACTTTCTTTTACTTTGTTAATAGTTTCACACCATATACGTAAGATATTTATAACCATTCTAAAGTTACCTTATTATAAACCGTCCATTCATCACAACCCTTTAATGTAAGAAATAAGGTGTTAAATATTTTTTTCTGGTACGAGACACAAAATAACCGGTTATCTGAATGCGTACTAACCTTTTAACGTTGCGCCCACGTTGTTCTGTCACATCTTTGTCACGACGTCACAAATATGTTGCTAATTCTTTTAAAACAGTACCTTTATCTTGCATCGGAAACCAATTAGCCGGCTTTATATATAAGTAAAAATATCGACACTCGTTCCCTCTCAACAACGGACACAGACCGACTGAACGATTTGTAGGCAAGAGCACAGGTACCATAAATTTACGCATTTTGATTGGTCAGTTAAAGTGACGTCACATGTTTTCATTGGTTAACCTTAGTCATACAGCACAAACCACCGATTTGCTATTAATTGTCAATTACACAAGGCATACCATACTTAAGATGTAATAACCATTGCATACCATTATTTACAATGCGAAATCCTGTTAAGTGTGGATTATTATTAAAATTATGTATATATATGTATATATACACATATAGACATACTTAAACACATACGCATACATGCATATAAGTACACATACAAATATATGTATACACACATTTTTTCTATTGTTATATGTGTACAAATGATCCTATGAAATTGCACTAAGATATATTTATGCACTTATCACATATCATTATTAATCATTTTAGTTTTGCCAATTTCGTCATTTGAATTGTCTTGGCAGCATTCACATGTTCTTCCGACTTATTTTCTATTTGGAATTTATTTTCACGAATTATTAGTTTATCATAAAAAAATTAAACTAGTGTTAAAGTACACACACCAGACAAGGCCATTATATTTTGTCGTTCGTTGAAGGTTATGTCGGTATACAGTTTCCTGAATAGTTCACTATATGCTGCTATTGTACTTTAAGTAGAGCTATAGACTATAATGTTACGATATATTGTTAACGAGAAAATATTGAAGCGTGGACTGCCGCTGAATCCGCGTCTTTGTAGTTTGCACGTTTTAAAATGTATATAACAAATATATAAATATAGTTGCACACGCACAAGTTGTTCGATTATTGTGTTCACATCACGTTCTATATGCGAAGTGACACGGTATTATATATATGTTTTACTTTCAGGCATGTGTTTCTGCGGCACGACACAAAACAAATCTGGCCAAATGTTTTAAAATATGTCTTGCTGTTGTAAGTACACAATGTAACATTATGCTTAAAAGGATCGTCGCTTACAGTAAGTAAATGGTAGGTGCAAAAAAAAAAAAAATATGGCACTGCTAATAAAGATTCTGACTTACCGCTTTAATGTGGTAGAGACACGCGCGCCAGCTGNGAAGAAGAAGAAGAAGAAGAAGGAGAAGAAAGAAAGATAGAGAGAGACAGAAAAAGAGATTGATAGACAGAGAGAGGGAATAAAGTGAAAGGAGAGAGAAATAACCAGAAAGAGAAATAACCAGAGAGAGAGGGGGGGGGAGGGCAGTGAGAGAAGGTTTAAACGGGCCTTCTATATGTATAGTTTGAATTACTCCTAGCGGCTAGGGAATGAGAGACAATGGGCGACATGAGAGACCAATTGGCAGCGTGCAGGAGCAACTCTTAACATGCGCAGAAGGGGCAAGTGAATCCCACCAATCATGTCCTGTTACGTCACGTGTCCGTCATGAACTTCACGAGTTGCCATTTAGAGTTATTTTCACCAATAACATCGATCGTCTGGGAATTTTCATACTTAGTATTTATTATGAAAATTAAATTGTATATATTTCCACAAATGATCAAATATTCTGATAAAGGATGCATATAAAAACCAATATAATCCCACGAGGAATCTTTGAAGTTCAGAGGCTGCGGGCATGGAACTCATATTTCCATGTTGATGAAACAAATTACATGATCAAGGTCACACAAATTTACGATTTAAATCAAATATGAACGAGTATTTTTCAACTACTTTACAGTGTCTGAATGCAAATTGCAAGGTTTATTTATCCAAGTCAATTTTATATCGGACTGCAAATTGTCTGTTGCAGTGGAAACGGTTTCTTACACCGTCAAAGTTGCACTCTTTTAAGCACGATTTACAAATTAACTTTTTCGGGAGAACATAGTTAGGCATTTATTAATAATATGAATAAGTTTTTAATGCCTTGTCTTCGATCATGTAGGTACGTCTGGGATGAAGGGAAGGAAAAGGTGGTCTTCAGAAGCATCTGGAAGTTTATATTATTATTTATTCTTTATTATCTGGAAGTTTACATTATTATTATTCGGTACGGACACGGTGGATTAGGATTAAACTAAATAAGAGGCCACAGAAGACGCCCATGACAGTTTCAGTAATTCCCAACGTTAAATTGGAAATGTAATATTTAGAATTTGGCGGCAAAATCAGTACACGAAACCACCTCGGAATAAAATCAAGAGCTTCTTAAATATCTGATAATAGTGAGGCCTTTTATATATATATGATTTCATCTGTTACCAACTATCTTTGTGTTAAATGTGTCAGGGACAAGACTGACGCGAGCTCGGAACGTAGTTTTTAGACAGCGAAGCAGCTTCGGTTGTCGTGTGGGTGTTCAGGCAACGTGGATTCGACTCGTGGATCATTGCTCGTTTGGGGAGTAAATACGAAGAATTATAGTATCTTGAGTAATGAGAATGATGTTACAGGATGTGGTTGAGGATGATCGTCCTCGGGTGTCGAGCGAGCTCTTCTTCTCCGCCGTATCCCTTGCCTCGGGATGGGATTTGAGGCTGTCCGCCTCGTCTCGGGAGAGGAGTTGAGGGAAAACGCGTAATGTCATTTCTTCTTCTTCTTCTTCATTTCTTCTTCTTCTTTTTTCTTGTTATAGGGTATAGACTATGTTGTCTATATCCCCTTTTGTCTCTTTTGTTCTTGATAATATTT